CTCGATATGGCGCTATCTTACGCCGCCAGCGTCGAATCGAGAAGAGAGGAGAGAGCTGTGATAATGATGATTTTGGCTCTAGTTCTTTTTGAATTGCATTTAAATTTCAAAAACAATCGAAAATATTCTAAATTGTTGGGTGCTTTCAGAAAATCCCACAGTAATAACTGGAACATTTTGACTCCTCTGTTACTGTTTTTTTAGGAGACAATTATCATTTTTATTTTTATTTGATTTAATTTAAAGTAATAATCTAATGAAAAATTCCTCAAGGACCCAAAATATGGGACCAATAAGGGGGACAAGTGAGGTGTCCCCCTCCTATTGGATAATGAGTTGGCCATCATTAATGATGGCCAACTCATTATCCAATAGGAGGTGGACACCTCACTTGTCCCCCCTATTGGTCCCATATTTTGGGTCCCTGTAGCAAAGCTCTAATCTAATCCTATCTCATTCTCATTTTTTTTAATAGTCAAACCCGGAATCGAACACACAATAGCGCCAATCATATTGAAACATCTCAATCATCCGGGTCATCCCGCGTATCTCATTCTCATTTAATTTAAAGTAATAACTTTTAAAATTAAACCATTTTATTTTCAATCCCATAGTTAGATTCAAAAAATCCTAATATGAAAATCCATGGCTTCATGTGATCACTTTTAGAGATGAATATGTAATATGTAATTTATTAACGACAAATTTTTTTTGGATTAAAAACAATTCAAAATTATTCCTAATATTAGGGTATATTGGTTATTTCATTGATAATGTTGTAAGTAGTTTCGGATACAAGAGGGTTTTTAATCAATTGACGAGTACAATAAGAAATTTTTTAAGCGATCACTCTAGGAAGACTCTTAAAATTTTTTCCAATTGAATGTTAAAAAGTGATGAGAATTTTCTTCTCCAAAAAGATAATAAAATGATTAATTAACTAAAGAACGGAGATGATGTCATTTAATCATGCAGTTGATGTTGTTTTTAACTAATAAAGATTCTAACTGAAAATTTTTTGTTTTTTTTTTGTTTTTTTGTTTTTTTGTTAAAGCTTATTTAAGGCTGAGACATTGGACTGGATATGGGAGGGCCCGTGGCCCAGCTAGATTGGGCTATAGGAATTTAAAAATAAAACATTTGAATCTTTACTAGCTTAACATTGGAGGGCCTTCCTTTCCCATTATTCACGAATTGAATTGAGATTCATATAACAAGCTTTATCTTAAAAGTGGATTATTTAATTGCTTTTGTTTTATTATTATTTTATGGGTAACTCCATCATTAGTATTTATTTCAAATATTTTGACAAAAAGAACCATTTAAAGAGTCGATTTCATAAAACTACCATGAAGGTTGAAGGGTTTTGCATAAAACTAAAATTTATTAGAGAGAAATATCATGAACTATTGAAAGTATTGGTAACAACATTGACATCTTGAATAAAATGTCTAAACTATTCTCGGTTATATCTATCAAACCACAAGGTAATGAGGGTAATATAGAAAATATATAAAGTAAATAAGAGCGAAATTGTCCAAAATATATACTTGTGATGACATAACAACGTAATTACCCTTACTATTACCACTCATGATACTTTAGTGAGAAACTTCATGGCTTTTTTTACCTATGTAAAAGTTTCTGCTCGTTCAGTTTGTGCGAAACACTCCAAAAGGTCATGCACTCAAATCTGGCATTTACAACACAGACCGATACAGTTTTAAAATATAAAAACATTCTCAACTAATCCCTAGTGATAACTCGGCTATGCAAATTGGGTGACATTAGGGGCACACCCCCAACCACATCCCAAACCATACCCCCTCTCTAATATGCTACAGTGCACCGGGCTCCACATGAGATTTTGAAAATTTAAAATATCATGTGGAGCCTAGTGCACTGTAGCATATGAGAGAGGGGGTGTGGTTTGAGATGTGGTTGGGGGTGTGCTCCTATTATTTTCCATGCAAATTAAACTAGCCAATACCTAGTGCAAAATTACGGAGGAACGTTTACGGAGGTCTGAATCTTGTTTGCTGTTATGCTTCTCACCACTTTCAGAACATTTGCTGGCCTACCCCAGTGTTATCTAGCTAGAACCAAATCATTTTCTTAATGTCAAGCCTCTCCAATATCCTCGAGAAAGTGCAAATAAAAGGGAAAACAAGGCGCTAATAGTAGGGGTGTGCAAACGGTCGGTTCGGTTCGGTTTTTACCAAATTTTGAACAACCGAACTGAACAGCCTATAATTCAAAACCGAACCGAACCGTTGCAAGTCGGTTCGGTGCGGTTCGGTTCGGTTTGTTCGGTTCTAACTTTATCAAACTTGTTATCAAACAACATACTGTGTTAAAGAAAAAAAAAGATATCAACAAAGTGGTAGATTATGAAGCATTAAACACTGATATTGTTTTCAACCCATAATAATTCAGGTCCTAAGGCTCCTAATAGTTACAAGGAATGAACTCACATCCATCCAAGCAAAACGTAAGCATTTCTCAAGCACAAAATTTGAGTTCGAAAGTTTCATTCCTATGAGCCCACTCCCCTATTTCCTACGATAACCAGAGAGGGCCAAAGAAGGGAGTATGTCAAAGAAGGGAGTTAAGACTAGCAGTAATATGATTTATTTATAAATTGCCAAATTGACACCAATAATCAAAATCAATGCCTATTTTTAGTATTTTGAACTATCCAATAAACAAACGAGCAACATCAAACAATGCATTAATAAAAAATAATACAAGGTTTACAGGTATAGGCATGTAATCATGATAACCAGAGTATAGAAAATAAATAATTTACTATCAATATTAGCACAAGCCAAGTGTATAGACCTGTAGGCATGAGAAGTTGAGAGATCATATAATGAGTTTGGGCATATATGATTAAGAGCTACAAACAGATTTATACTTTGACAATAAAATAAAGAATTTAACACCAAGATGAACTTCTTCACAAGAAAAGGCCTATAAGGCTATGGAACCGAGAGATCGTGTGAGATCACTGAGATGTAGAAGAATGATTTTCAGTTTATACCTCAGCCTCGACGACGGCGATGGGTACGAGTGTCCACCCCCAAAGCCGGAGATAGATCCTGAGCCTGAGGAGATGTTTCCATTGTTTCAGCCTCGGCCATGAAGACTGCGGAGCGCGACGGAGTGCCGAGCGGCTGGCGGCTGAGGAGTGAGAGAGAGAGTGATAGAGAGGACTGAGGAAGTGAGGAAGAGGAAGTGAGAGAGGCAGAACTGAGGAATGAGAGAGAGTGAGAGAGGCGGAACTGATGAGCGGCGGCTGAGAAAGTGGGAATGAGAGTTTACTTTAGGGTTTGAGACTTTGAGTCTTTGGGGACGGGTCGGGTTTGAGTGAGATTCAGAACGAATATATTTTGAACTATGAGGTATTCGGTCGGTTCGGGTCTGTTCGGATTGAAAAGTTTTCAAACCGACCCGAACCGTCCTACATTGATGGGGATGCACAACCCCCCTGATGCGATTTGGAAATAGAGATTTAGGAGAGAAGAGAGAAAATCAAACAATCTCAAACACACAAGATTTACGTGGTTCGCTTTTCAATGTGAGAAACTACGTCCACGGCCGCCGCAGGAGAAAAATTCACTATTTTTCGTCTTAATACATCATGCCCTAATCAACCCTTTTATAGACTTAAGGGTTTAACAAGTAAATAAGGAAACATATCAAAACAGGTTAAAAAACGAATCTGGCTTTTATAGACTTAAGGGTTTAACAAGTAAATAAGGAAACATATCAAAACAGGTTAAAAAACGAATCTGGGCCAAAACCCGACTCCGGTCGACCGCCGCACCACATCCTGTCGACCGCGATGTTGTTCGAAATCTGCCTGGCTCTCTGGACTTTTGGCGGTCGACCGCAGTGCCATGCTCGGTCGACCGCGATGAAGACAGAAAGCTGGGTTGCTCTCTGGACTTTGAGCGGTCGACCGCAGCGCCATGCTCGGTCGACCGCGAGCTGCTCCTCACCCTAGTGCCTGCCTGTGCACGTCGTCGGTCGACCGCCGCCGCATGGGCGGTCGACCGCAAAGCTGTAAAAGCTCTCCTTCGTCGTTTTGCTTGAACTTTGCCATCGTCGATCCTGTTCCTCTTGTTCCAACTTTGTTCCTCTTCATTCTGAAGTGTAGGGCACGCCTGATAGTTAGGCTTCACATATCCTAACAATCTCCCACTTGGAGACTAACTATCAATCTCTTTCAGCTCTCTCTGCGGCGACGGCCTCCATATCATCAAGTGCTGAGGCCAACTGAAGTTGAACACAACTTCAGTTTCTCTGTAGTGACAACCTTGGTAAGCATATCAGCTGGATTCTTGCTTCCTTGAATCTTCTCAAGTTCCAACATGTCCTCGTCCAACGCTGATCTTATGAAGTGGTAGCGGACCTGTATGTGTTTGGTCCTTGCATGAAAAGCGGGATTCTTCGCCAAATGAATTGCGCTCTGGCTATCACAATGTAAGACACTCTTCTCACTCTTCTGTCCCAGCTCCTCCAAGAAACCCTGCAACCATATCATCTCCTTGCTCGCCTCTGTCACATCAACATATTCAGCCTCTGTCGTTGATAAAGCAACGATTTTCTGCAACTGAGAAACCCAACTAATAGCTGTAGAGCCCAAAGTGAATACATATCATGTAGTGCTCATTCTCTGGTCTATCTCACCAGCATAGTCTGCATCAACAAAACCCTGCAGGACTAACTTGCCTCTTCTGAAGCATAGACAATCTTCTATAGTACCTCGCAGGTATCTAAGAATCCACTTTACTGCTTCCCAGTGCTGCTCTCCTGGATCTGACATAAATCTGCTCACAGTTCCCACTGCATGGGTAATGTCGGGTCTCGTGCATACCATGGCGTACATAAGGCTTCCAATGGCTGAAGCATATGGAACCTTAGCCATGTAGTCTTTCTCTTCATCAG